TTTTTTGAGACAGGGTTTCTCTGTGGCTTTGGAGCCTGTCCTGGAACTAGCTCTGTAGACCAGGCTGTTCTCGAACTCACAGAGATCCGCCTGCCTCTGCCTCCCGAGTGCTGGGATTAAAGGCGTGTGCCACCATCGCCTGGCAAGACCTTGTATCTTAATTGGTAGAGTACTTGCCTTACACCCACGAGGTCCTGGGTCCAGCTCCAGCATTGACTAAACTTGGTAAGATGAAATTTAGCTGTGCTTCCTTGGGACGTGGAGGCAGAAGGATAAGAACTTCCTGGACATACTTGAATGTGTAATGAGTTAGAGGCTAGGAATGCATGAGATCTTGTCTTAAAAATAAATAGGGGGGCCGGTGAGATGGCTCAGTGGGTGGAGGTGCTCACAGCTAAGCCTGATTACCCAAACCCACACGTGGAAGGATAGAACCAACTTCTGCAAGCTGTCCTCTGATGCGCGTGCCTCTCGCTCTCACAAAACAAATAAATACACGCAATTTTTCACAAATTAAAAGCAACCTGTCAGAACCCCTAATACCTAAGTCTGAAAACAAACATCCCGCACCTGCTTTGAGCCCCTCGAGCCCTCTGATGCCACTCTTGGACCCCCAAGTAAGACCACTGTATCAAGGGCCCCTCCCACATGGAATGGTAACCACCCCTAAAGTCCTGGCTCCTGGCCCGCCCCCCCCCCCATTCTTTCTCAGCCCATCTCCCTGCTCCACTCCCACTTACTTGTCTCACGCCCACTTCTCAGGGCGGCACATGGAGTTCCAGAGGCTCAGAGGAGTGGAAGCCAGACCTTCAGCGGACACTGTGAGACCCTCTATGCTCACCCCAGCTGCGCCCCTCTTCCCCCTTCTGCCCTGGGCCACACTGACTCTTTCCTGGTCCCACAGGTTTGCTTACAGGCCCCTGGAGACTGCCGGAGCACCAGCCCCAGGTCCACCACCCCTCCCCTGGGCGGGAGGGGGGGCAGTGGGTTAAGTGGGAGCCACCTGTAGCTCATGCCTGTCGTTCTTCAGGAGCCAGCTGTCAGAGTCTGATGACGACTATGATGACGTGGACATGTAAGACCCCATGGCTGGAGCTCTGATGACCTCAGTGCAGCTCTTACCTTCCCTCCTCCTCTCCAATCCCTGGCCCCCAAGCCCACTGGACCCTCAGCCTTCACCTTTGACCCCTAGCTCTCCCATTCCTTCTTCCCCAGACTCTCACTTCCTAGGCAGAGTGACCTTAAACTTTCTCATATACAAGCTCTCTGTCACAGAACCACGCCCCAGCCCTCCACTGTGGTATTACTGGGTCTTGAAGATTGTTTCCTAATTTTCTGAGATATCGCCACACTGACATCCAAAGGGGTTGTACCAGCTTGAGTTCCCACCAGCAATGCAGAAATGTTCCCCTTTCCCCACAACCTCTCCAGCATAAGTTGTCATCAGTGTTTTTGATCTTGGCCATTCTCACAGGTGTAAGATGGAATCTCAGAGTTGTTCTGATTTGCATTTCTCTGATGACTAAGGATGTTGAACATTTCCTTAAGTGCCTTTCAGCCATTTTAGATTCCTCTGTTGAGAGTTCTTTATTTAGATCTGTACTCCATTTTTTTTATTGGATTATGTGATCTTTTGGTGTCCAAATTCTTGAGTTCTTTGTATATTTTGGAGATCAGATCTCTGTCTGATGTGGAATTAGTGGAGATCTTTTCCCACTCTGTAGGCTGTCTTTTTGTCTTGTTGACCATGTCCTTTGCTTTACAGAAGCTTTTCAGTTTCAGGAGGTCCCATTTATTAATTGTTTCTCTCAGTGTCTGTGCTGCTGGGGTTATATTTAGAAAGTGGTTCCCTGTGCCAATGCGTTCAAGTGTACTTCCCACTTTCTCTTCTATAAGGTTCAGTGTGGCTTTATATTGAGGGTTTTGATCCATTTGGACTTGAAATATTTTTGTTTTTGTTTCTGAGATAGGGTTTCTCTGTGTAGCCCTAGCTTTCCTGGAATTCACTCTGTAGACCAGGCTGTCTTAGAATGTACAGAGATCCACCTGCCTCTGCCTCCTGAGTGCTGGGATTAAATTGTGCACCACCACCCAGCCTTAAAACATATTTTTAAAATTTGTTCTATGTGTATCAGTGTTTTGCCTGTCTGGACACATATACCCCTGGTGCCCATGATGCCACTGGGTCCCTGGAACTGGAGTTTCAGGCTATTGTGAGCTGCTTTTGTGGGAGCTGGGAACCAAACCCAGGTTCTCAGAAAGAATAACAAGTGCTCTTAACCACTGACCTGTCTCCCCAGCCCCTCGTTTTAATTTTTTTGTTTTTGTTTTGTTTTGTTTTTTTGTTTTTCGAGACAGGATTTCTCTGTAGCTTTGGAGCCTGTCCTGGAACTAGCTCTTGTAGACCAGATTGGCCTCAAACTCACAGAGATCTGCCTGCTTCTGCCTCCCGAGTGCTGGGATTAAAGGTGTGTGCCACCACTGCCGACTTTGTTTTAATTTTTAATCAAATAAATTTTTTTTGAATCTTGTAAGTGGTGGCATATACCTTTAATGCCAGCACCCAGGAGGCCGAGGCAGGCCAATCTCTGAGTTTGAAGCTAGCCTGGTCTACATAGTGAGATCCAGGACAGCCAGGGTTACACAGAGAAACCTGTCTCAAGAAAACAAAACAAACAAAACAAAACCAGAAAACAAATTGAGACAGAATCTTACTGTGTATCTCCAGCTACATCTTTAGAATAGGCTGGCCTCAAACTCATAGATTAAAGGCATCCGGAACTTCTACTTTCGTATTTGATACAGAGTAACATTAGGTTGCCCAGGCTGGAAATAAATTCATCTGTAGCCCAGGCAATCCTATTGCCTCCGCTTTCTAAGGAACTGGTCTTACCTGCCCAACCAGGCCAGCTCCTTCTACCTTCTACAACTTTATATCTAATCCCCAGCCAGCTTTGGCCCTGAGCTGCCCTCTGGCCTGGGCCTGACCCTCCTGTCGCTCCTCCACCTCAGACTCGGCATCCTGCAGCCTACCCGCCAACTTAAGCTTGGACCCCACTCTTCTCCCCCATCTCTTGTCATTTTCTCAGCCGGCTTCAATCTGTAGCCCAAGCTGGTCTTGAGCTCTCAATCCTCCTGCCTCTGCTTTCTGTGTAGGTGGGATTACAGGCTTGTGACCGTAGACCGAACCTCAAATTAAATCTTGACCCATGGAAATTTCCTACATCAGGCTTTAAGTCCCAGGCCTCGCACTGCACCCCAGCAGTCATGTTGAGCCCCCATATCCTCCCTGCCCTGGCTAGGGGACAGTCTCGAGCCTTCTCCCTGTTCATTCCCCATCTTCTGTGCACTGGCATGTGGGGCAGGGGTGGGAGGGGGTGAGGAATGGAGCCAGACCTCCTGTCTTCTTGTGGACCACGTAACAGCCCAGAGCTGCTACTGCTGACGTGGCCATGACTGTCAGCCATGGAGTCCTTGGCTCCAGTCACTCCTGGTTACCCCTGCTCCACCATCCCTCAGTCCCAGGCCACCAGCTTGAAACACCCCATCTTGTCCCTCGCACCCATACCGCTTTTTCTATCTTTGTGTTCCAGCCCTGCCCCAGCAGAGGATATGCCTCCTCCACTGCCCCCGAAGGTAAGGCCCTGGGGATCCTGAGGTCAAGTCCTGCACTTTCAATGTATACAGTTTGGCTGGGTGTGATGGTGCACACCTTTAATCCCAGTACTTGGGAGGCAGAGACAGGCAGATCTCTGAGTTCAAGCCAGCCTGGTCTACAGAGTAAGTTCCAGAACAGTCAGGACTACACAGAGAAACCCTGTCTCAAAACACAACAAAGCAAAACAAAGGAAAATATTTCAAGTGTGAAGGCAGAGATGTCTGAACATTGCAGAAAGCTTAAGCCTTTGGGGTACAGGATGGATGTGTAGAAACACAGCTGAAGCTGGGTGTGGTGCTGCACTCGGGGTGGAGGCAGTAAGATCAAGAGGTCAAGATCATCCGTAGGTATGTAGCAAGTTCAAGACCAGCCTGAGCTACACAGTGACACAGTGAGAAAATGTCCCCAAACAAAAATCTGTTTAAAGCAAGGCTGGCTGGCTGGGAGTTTGGAGTGATGGGTCCTGTGGGATAGGTCAAGTAGCTGACCTAGTGCCCAGCATTAACCCTTTGTGTTCTGGTGTATCTGATGTTCCTTCCCACGAGGACAAGTTGGGATATCACAGGGCATGCGTAGCTATGGCTGACTCTTGGTCCTGGAAGAGGCGGGCATTGGAGCACGAGGTGTATTTCTTCTGGGACCTCTCACTTGTCTACTTCCTCCACACTCTTGTCTCCATAGCCCAAGTTCCGGTCTCCATCTGATGACGGTTCTGGAGGGGTAGGAGACGACGGACAACTGAGCCCAGGGGTTCTGGTCCGGTGTGCCAGTGGGCCTCCTCCACGGACTCCCCGTCCTGGGCCTCCCCCAGCCACTCGCAACCCCCATCTTACAGCCCACTCAGGTACCAGGCCCTCCCTGGGGAGGAAGATAGGTAGAGTTGGAAGTCTCTTGTCTTGATCTTGCTTAAACCCCTATCAGATCCCTCACTATGGAACCCACCTGCTCCAGAGCCGGGCCAGCCTCCACTCCTACCCCCTAAGAAGGAAAAGATGAGGAGAAAGGTGAGAGCTAGCTACAGGCTCGGGATGGGCTGGGGCGACCCAGTGGGAGATGGTCCTTCCTCTGTGTCAGACACTGACTATGGGATGTGTGTCTGTGCCTGTGGATGGGTGGATGCACGGGCCTGTTGGTGGATGCACAAATGTGTGGGTGGACACTCAGGCATGTGGGTGGATGCACAAGGGTGTGGGTGGACACTCAGGCATGTGAGTGGACGTTCAGCCATGTGGGTGGACACTCAGGCATGTGGGTGGATGCACAAGGGTGTGGGTGGACACTCAGGCATGTGGGTGGACGTTCAGCCATGTGGGTGGACACTCAGCCATGTGGGTGGACGGTTCAGGCATGTGGGTGGATGCACAGGTGTATGGGCATAGTTTTTTGTCTTGCCAGACAGCTTCCAAATAACCACATAGATAGTATTATAAATGCTCAGTCGATAACTTAGGTTTGTTACTAACTAGCTCTTACAACTTAACTCCTATTTCTTATTGACATTCTACCACATGGCTTGGTACCTTTCTTCAACATGGCCTGTTCATTTTATCATCTTGCTTCTCCTCAAGTCAGCCGGCAACTCGGCCCTTCTTCATCCCAGAGCTCTCTCCCTGTCTGCAAGTCCCACCTAACCTCTTCCTGCCTAGCTTTTGGCATTTTAGCTCTTTATTAAACCAATGAGAACAACTCATCTTCACAGTGTACAAAAAGACTATTCCACAACACAGGCACGGGGGTGGATGCTCAGGTACATGGGTGGATGCACACATGGAGGCCAGAGGACATCAGGTGATCTGCTCTGTCAATCAGCATCTTATTTCTTTAAGACAGTCTCTCACTAAAGTCGGAGCTAGGCTGGTGGCAGCAAGCCTCAGGGATCTGCCTGTCTCTGGGAGGAGCGTAGCTATGCCAGCTTTTTAAACTTTTATTCTTCTCTAATATATTAATTACATCCCAGCTGCAGTTTCCCCTCCCTCCACTCCTCCCAGTTTTTACCCCACCTCTTCTTGACCCCAGATCAACTCCTTTTCTGTTTCCCTTAAAAAAGAAAGAAAGAAAAGAGACAAAGAGCTGGCCTCCTAGGGATAGCCACCAAACATTGTATCCACCAAACATTGTATCCACCAAACAATGTATCCACCAAACAATGTATCCACCAAACATGTATCCGCCTAACAGGATACAATAAGACTAGGCAAAACCCCTCATCTCAAGGCTGCACAAGGCAACCCAGTGGGAGGAAATGTGCCCCAAGCATAGGCAAAAGAGCCAGAGACACCCCCACAAGAACACTAAGCTACATAGCCATATGCAGAGGATCTCGCTCAGATGCGTACACGATTTGCGATTGTTGCTTCAGTTTCTGTGAGTCCTGCTTAGTGATTCTGTGGACTGTGTTCTCATGGTATCCTTGCCTCCTTTGGCTCCTACAATCCTTCCTCCCCCTCTTTTTCAAGGTTCCCCTGGCTCCGCCTAGTGTTTGGCTGTGGGTCCCTGCATCTGCTCCCATAGGTTGCTGGAATTTGCCTCTCTACTATCAATTGCACGCTCAGCTTTTTAATGAGGGTGCTGGGAATCGGAATTTAGGAGTGTGGTTTAGCCTTCCCATCTCTCTGATAAAACTCCCACCCAAACTAGCTTGGGGAGGAAGGGATTGTTTGGTTTCAGCTTCCACTTTTACAGTTCACCATCCAGAGAAGTCGGGGCAGAGCCCAAGGAGGAATAGTGCTTTCTGGCTTGCTCCTCAGGGCTTGCTCAGCTTGCTTTTCTATACAACCCGGGTCACCTGCCCAAGGGTGGCACCATCAAGATGGGCTGGGCCCTCCCACATTAATCAGTAATCAAAAAATGTCCCACAATTGGGTAGAGGCAATTGCTCCAGTTATGGTACCCTCTTTATAAATAACTCTAGTTTGTGTCAAGTTGACGAAAACCAAAACCAAACAAACAGCCTGACCAGCACAAGGGAGTTTACCTAGAATTCTGCAGTAGATGGCTGGGCCCTGGCTCACCTTATAGAGCCTGTCTAGTTCAACAGTGAGGGACTGGGGGTATGGCTCAGAGGAGGAGGGCTCAGCTGCTAGTGCAAAGCCTTGCATTCTATCTCCAGGATGTGCAAAGATACGAGTAAGGGGGGGGGGCTTCCAGGCCAAATGGAGTACATAGGAGACTCTGTTTTAAAAAATGGGAGGAGAGGGACCCCAGAGGTGGCTGTTTTCTGTTCCACAGATGGAGAAAGCGAAGCGCCACGAGGTAAGCAGCTTACCCACGGTCACCCATAAAACATTCCCCTTATCTACGGAGGATCCACATCAAGACACCCCCCCCCACACACACACCATGGATGCCTCAAACTGGCTAGTACCCAATCCTTTATTTTCCACAGATATATGTACCTACAAGGGGGGGGGGGCTCGTTGATGGTACAGTAAGAGGTTTACTGAAGAGTCAGGGTGTGGTGGTACACATCTGTCATACCAAGCACTGCGGAAGCAGAAGCAAGAAGGTCAGGAGTTGAGAGCCAGCCTGGGCTACATAGAGAAGCTAAGGCCAGTCTGGACTACAGAAGACCCATGTAAAGAAAAAGCTAAAACACAACATAATTTTTGTTTGTTGTTTTTGTTTTTTTTTAAGACAGGGTTTCTCTATGTAGCCAGGCTGGCCTTGAACTCAGAGATCTGCCTCTGCCTGCAGAGTGCTGCCTCTGCCTCCAGAGTGCTGAGATCAAAGGCATGCACCACCACTGCCCAGCAAATTATTTATTTATTTTATGTGCATTGATGTTTTCTCTGCACGTATGTCTGGGTGAGGGTATCAGATCCCCTGGAACTGGAGGTACAGACAGTTGTGAGCTGCCATGTGGGTGCTGGGAATTAAACCCGGGTCCTCTAAAAGAGCAGCCAGTGTTCCTAACCCCCGAGCCATCTCTGTAACCCCAAAATGAAATTTTTATCTTTGAAATCTTTCATGTAATAGTTTTTGGACCATGCTTACAGAGATGAGGGGATGGGGTGGGGAGTGTGGGGGTCTCTGAGGAAAGGCAGAATCTGAACCCTGTGCTCAACTTCCTGTCCTCTGTTCATTGCTGCTCTACCCACTGACCATGGCCATCCAGGGATGTGCCCTTCTTGTGAAATTATTCAACGGCTGCCCCCTCCAGATCCACAGCACAGCTGCCTGGACACACCCCTCTACTAAAGGTGGGCACTCTGGAGGTCCAAAAGAGCATGGAGTAAGAGGCCAGCTGGGGAAGGGGGGGACCCTAATGGGAGCACAAAGGGGTACAGGAAGAATAGTTTTATTTTAATTTTACTTATGAGTGATTTTACCTGCAAGTATGCTTGTCTACCACGTGCATGCATAGTTGGCAGAGACCAGGAGAGGGCGTTGTATCCCCTGGAACTGGAGTTAGAGATGGTTGTTCACTGACACATGGGTGCTGGGAACCGATCTGCAAGAGCAACAAGTGCTCTTAACCACTGGGCCACCTCTCCAGCCCCAGGAGGGTCTTTTTTGTTATTTAGGACTTAGGTTTTTATTTTTAAGATAATGTGAGTCTTTTTAAAATATAATATTATTATTTGAGAATGTAATACAATATATTTTGATCATCTTTGCTCCCCCACTCCCAGATCCAATCATATTCTCCAACCCTTCCCAACTTACTGTTCTTTTTTTTTTTTTTTAAGTCATGGAGTCTAATTTGTGTTGTCCCTTTACTTATGACTGTGAGGCCAGCCACTAGAATGTAGTTAGCCCTTAAAGAAAACTGGCTTCCCCCCCCAAGAAGCCATCAATGGGTGGATACTGTGTACAAGCGGACCCAGGTGTCCGCAGAGCCCAGGAGAGCGTGCAAGAGCCCCTGAACCTGCAGTTGCAGGTGGTTGTGAGCCTCCAGGTATGAGTGCTGGGAACCAATCAAACTCAGGCCCTCGGGGAGCGGTAGGTGCTTAGCTCCCGAAGAAGGGTCTTACAGGAGTAATGTTGGCTAAGTCAGATCCGGTGCCGAGGCCGTGGTTACTGTCAGCTCTGGAGATACATGAGGGGGAAGTGGAAGGATGACGTCAGAGATGAACACTACAGGAGGTGGAGTTTAGAGGCCAGAGGTATCTGAATAAGACAGTCTAGAGTCAGGGGTACATGATGGAGGTATTGTTGATGGCAGACTGGGATCAGCTTGCGGGGGGGGGGGTCACAGGTTTGACTGCAGCGGAAGAGGACAGTCTGGAGATGACATATGGGGGATAAGATGAGGGGAGGTCAGTATTAAATGACTTAAGAGGCTTGGAATGGAGGTGTGCACCTTTAACCACAGCACCCCTGAGGCCGAGGCAGGAGGATCATCACAGGTTTGAGGTCAGCCAGGGCTGTATGGCAAGAGCCTTCTGAAAAGCAAACAGCAGAGAAGTGCAAAGCACACTGGTCTTAGGAGGTAGAGGCCGGGGGATCAGGGGTTTAAGGTCAACTTTGGTTTCTTAGGGAGGTCAAGGGCCAGTGGAACTCTTGTGACCAGATCTCTTAAAACAAGAGACAGGCTTGGGAGGTGACTCAGCAGTTAAGAGCACCGGCTGCTTTTTCAGAGGACCCAGGTTCAGTTCCCAGCTCCCACAGGGTGGATCATAGTCTTCTCTAACTCTAGTTCCAGGGGAGCTGCCACCCTCTTCTGGCCTCTGCAGGCATTGCATGCACATGGTACACAAACACACATGTAGACAAACACTCATACACATAGAATAAAAAAATAAATAAAATTTTTAAATGAGATACAGGCACCAGGACTGAGCAGTTTCGCTGAGTAGAAAAGGCCATATTGGGGGTCCAGAGTCACAGCCAGCCCACTGACAGGCATAGCAGTTGGAGCAGAGTGCTGGGGAAGAAGGGGCGGGGCTTAGAGAGCTGCTGCTGGAGAAGCAAGTGTGCAGCTGGTGTGAAAATTAGAGTTGGCCGGTCAGGGACAAAGAACTGCCAGACACTGGCAAATCACAGAGCGGGGACATGGGGACTGCTTGGGGGACTGAGCAGGGTTTCAGTTCAGACTTGAGGAGAGACAAACTGGGGATGTCAGTCTGAGGGAGAATTAGTATGAAAGGGGGTGGGGTGGGGTAGAGGGCCAGTTTGGGACAAAGATCTGGGAGGTTCTTCCCCCACAATGAGAGACCCCAGCAACCATTTTGTCTGGCCCACTCAGACCAGCACCTGCTCCTGGGTGCAGAGGAAGGCATTTTCATACTGAACCGGAATGATCAGGAGGCCACGCTGGAGATGGTGAGGGATGGGGACAGTGCTGGAAGGGGGGCGGAGTGGCATAGGGTTGACTGGTAATCACAGGAGTCACCCCTATTCTCTGCAGCTCTTCCCTGGCCGGACAACCTGGGTGTATTGCATCAACAACCTCCTCATGTCTCTCTCAGGTCAGCCTGTGGGCTGGGGGAGGGGCAGGGGCCAGGAGCTAAGATTGGGGGGATAACGTGTGGATGAGTCTTCAGCTTCACTGAGCCTGAGGTTTAAATCACCACTTTCCTCCTGGTTGAGCGGAAGGCACGGGGCTGCTCTCCCTGAGCCTCGCTTTTCATATCTGTACAGTCTCAGACTTTTCCATATCTCGGAAATCTCCCCCCTCAAGTTGGTTGTGAGTTCATTTTTACAATAAATTCGTCTTTAAATACCTGGGTACACTGGCCATCTCTGGGTGTAGCTGGGGCACTCTTTAATCCCAGAGCAGAAGAGACAGGGCAGGAGGTCTGAAAGGCAGGACTTACTCCCGCTTCAAGTCTGTAACGCAGACTGAAGAAGTTCCAGGACTTTTTGCTGTTTGTTTTTTGGTAACAGGGCAGGTGTCTGCTTACGAATGTGCTACCACTGAGCTGTGTGTCCAGCACTGAGCTGTGTGTCCAGCACTGAGCTGTGTGTCCAGCAGCATCCTCCCCCTGTGCTCTCTGAGACAGAATTCTCACTGTGTATCCCAGGCTAGCCTTGAACTTGGGGTGGTTCTCTGGCCTCAGCCTCCCGAGTCCTGAGATTACAAGCACGAGCCACCATTCCCGGCATAGGTAGGATTTTGTTGCTGTTTGTTTTTGTTAAGCTTTGACGTGTGTACCAGGTGTGGTGGCACCCACCTGTAATCCCAGCACTCAGGACGGAGCCAGGAGGATGGGAGTTCAAGGCCAGTCTCAGCTACATAGGGTGTCAGAGGCCAGCCTGGACCACATGAGACCCTGTTTTGAGAAACAAGCACCAGCAATAAATAAATAAACCCCAGGTGCAACTTCCCAGGCTAGTAAAACTTCCCTCACCTGTGTGCTGCTGTGCTGTGCGGGCAGAGAGCCTGTCCTGCTGCTCTGTCCCCCCTCCCCCAGCAGAGCACCCACAGTGCCTGGTCACCCCCCAGCACCCACAGTGCCTGGTCACCCCGGTTCCTTCAGACGGGAAGGGTAGGAATGTGTGGGAAGAAAGTGGGATCTGAGTGCTGGGGCGTTTCAAAGGCCTGGGGCTAGCCAAGGGCTGGGAGACAAGATGGTAAGGGGTCCTAAAACCGCTTCCCACTCCCCCTCCCATACACACACTGCAGGGAAGACCCCCCACCTATATTCTCATAGCATCCTGGGCCTGCTGGAGAGGAAAGAGATCCGAACAGGAAGCCCCATCGCTCACATTAGCCCTCACCGGTTACTGGCAAGGTACCAGCCCCAAAGGGCACCACTGGCTTCCCCCGCCCCCCCCCTGCTGTCCTTGTGGTCACTCACACTTCCTTCTTCTTCAGAAAGAACATGGTCTCCACTAAGGTGCAGGATACCAAAGGCTGCCGGGCCTGCTGTGTGGGTGAGAGCCAGGCTCAGGGGGTGCTGGGAGGGTGGGTAGGGTTGGCGCTTGGACATTATCCACTCAGTAAGGCTGAGGCAAGGTGTGCAGGGCACCAGGGAAAGATGGAGTGCTCTAGGAAGTAGGCAGACCCTGACCCATTCTTGTCTGCTCCACAGCTGAGAGCCCTAGCTCCGGGGGCCCGTTCCTGTGTGGGGCACTGGAGACGTCTGTGGTCCTGCTCCAGTGGTACCAGCCGATGAACAAATTTCTGCTTGTCCGGGTAAGGCTGCGGGGCAAAGGTGCTGCCACCATTCGCTACCACCGCCCAGCTCAAAGAAGCTGGTTTAATTCCCAGCACCCAGACGGCAGCTAACAACTGTCTGTAACTAACTCTAGTTCCAGGGGATTCTACACCCTCACACAGACATACATGGAGACAAAACACCAATGCACATAAAATAAAAATAAGTAAATCGTTAAAAACAAACAAACATTTCTGATCCATAAGACCTGCACCTAGCCGGGCGGTGATGGTGGCCTTTAATCCCAGCACTCGGGAGGCAGAGGCAAGAGGATCTCTGTGAGTTCGAGGCCAGCCTGGTCTACAGAGCTAGTTCCAGGACAGGCTCCAAAGCTACAGAGAAACCCTGTCTAGAAAAACGAGAGAGAGGGAGGGAGGGAGGGAGAAAGAGAGAGAGAGAGAGAGAGAGAGAGAGAGAGAGAGAGAGAGAGAGAGAGAGAGAGAGAGAGAGAGGGGAGGGGAG